GTCCTGGCCTGGCTCTGCGTCGAACACGGGAACCGCTACCAAAAGGCACGCTAACTCTGAAGCCGTGTCATTCCCAAGGCCGCCCCTGCCCCTCACCCGGCTGGGAAAAAGAAATTGAACGGAAAGAAAGACAGAAGGACATGGTTCGGAAAAGGACACAAGAAACGGGGGGGAAACGGGAAGAAACAAGGGGAGAAGTGAGGGAAACGGAAGGAAACAAGAGGGAAAAGGAATGGAAACATAAGGAAACGAGACAGAAAACGACGAGGAACGGAAGGGAAAGGGAGGGAATCGGAAGGAAACGTAAAAAGAAACGTAAAAGGAAACATAAGGAAACGCGACGGACAAGGAATGGACACGGAAGGAAACGAGAGGGAACACGGCACGGAAGGGAGAGGGAAGGAAGCGAGAGGGAAAAGGAAGGGAAACGGAAGGAAACGTGAGGGAAAAGGAAGGGAAACGGAAGGAGCCGCGAGGGCAACGAAAGGGGAACGAGAGGGAAGAGGAGGGGAAATGGAAGGAAAAAACGGGAGCGAAAGGGAAGGGGAAGGGAAGGCGGTTGCGCCCGTGCGCTGGCGGTCGTGGGCGGCGTGCGCAGGCGTGCGGTGTTGGGTCAGGGTTTCCGGGCTCCTCGAGCCGGACGGAGCCCACGGTTCGGGCCGCCGCGGGTGCCCCTCTTCCAGGCCCAGGCCCAGCAGTTTGCTCCGCGGGGCCGCGTTGCATTCTCGCGGCTCCTGCTAGCGACTTTCAGCCTGGCCCGCGCCTCCAGAAGGGGGGAAAAACAAAAAAAACAAAAAAAACGTAGCTTGGCGAAAGACCCAACCATAAGCACTGAGACGTACCGCAGTTGTGAGTACCATCGTCGGTGGATCCTCCTCTGCGGCCACGAAACGTTTGAGGGGCGTGCCAAAGCGGCCCGTCGGCGGCGGGTGGCCCTTGCCAGTGGGACTTTCGGTGGAGCTTCATATGGGGCCACGACGAAACGTGCGAGGGGTGCGCCAAAATGTGGAACCGCATGCGGGAGCTGCCGTTGGGGCTTCAGGTGGAGCACCCTGTGGGGCCACGGAACGCGTGAGGGGTTCGCCCAAATGGGAGGGTGGAACCGCATGCGAGCGCAGCCACTGGGGCTTTCGGTGGAGCTCCCTGCGGGGCCACGTAACGCGTGACGGGTGTGCCGAAATCGCGAAGTGGCGGCATGCGGGCCGTGCCACTAGGGCTTTCGGTGGAGCTCCCTCCGGGGCTACGAAACGTGTGAGGGGTGTGCTGAAATGGCGAGGTGGCGGCATGCGGGCCCTGGCGCTGGGGCTTCGGTGTAGCTCCCTACAGGGCCACGAAGCGTGCGATGGGTGTGCCGAAATGGCGAGGTGGCGGCATGCGGGCCCTGTCACTGGCGCTTTCGGTGGAGTTCCCTATGGAGCCACGACACGTGTAAGGGGCGTGCCGAAAGCCCTGCCACTGGGGCCTTCGGCGGAGCTCCCTACGGGGCTACGAAACGTGTGAGGGGTGTGCTGAAATGGCGAGGCGGCGGCATGCGGGCCCTGCCACTGGGACCGTCGGTGGAGCTCCCCATGGGACCACGAAGCGTGCGAGGGGTGCGGCGGAACAGAGACGTGGGAAAAGCCGAGGCGAGGAGGGGGCGAGGGAGGAAGGGGAGGAGGAGACGGGAGAAGAGGAGAGGAGAGCAGAGCAGAGCAGAGGAGGAACGCGGGGCGCTGTCTCTTCGAAAGGAGGACCCAACGCCACAGGATGGTTGGGAATCAAGACTCGCTCCACGAGGCGCCCCGGGAAGCGTGCCAAGAAACCCCGTACTGCAGGTATCCAAGAATCCTCTGGCCCGAAACTCAGGCACAGCAGGGGTATGGGCCGAAGGCCACAGACGAGCAAGCGATGGGTTTGGCGACGGACCCATCCCTGTACAGTCATGTGCAGTGCAAGGCGCGGGTCTCTCTTCATACAACTGCGCGCCGCGGGGCAATGCGGAGAGGTGGCTGCTGCGGAGCACGCGCGCGAGGGTGCGCTGCCTTGCCTGTGGGGCCCCCACGGAGGCCGCAGGTGCACCTCCGGGCGCGCCCCGTGGGCGGGGGGACGCCATGCGAAGTTGCTCGTTGGTGCCAGGCTCCGTCCGCCCAGACCGACCGACGCGCCAAATCTAATTATGATTGCCACCCCTGGTCCCCGCAACAAGGTGCGGTTTTGCTGCGTGCAGTTGTAGATGTGTTCGACAGAGGTGGAGCTCCTTCTGGGGCATGACTCGAGTGACAGGCGTGCCGACGCGGTCGGGGGGGAGGGCGTTGTACGAACCCCGTCTCCGGGCCTCTCGGGGGTGCTCCTCGCAGGCACGATCCGCGCGATCGGGTGTTCGGCAGTGGCCCGGGGGGGTGCTGGGCGCAGGGACCCAGGTGGAGGTCCTTGTGGGCCACGATCCGTGTGAGAGGCGTTGTCGAAGTAGGCGGGAGGGCGGGATGCGAACCTTAGTTGTGGGTCCGTCCGTGGAACTCCT